GCTGGAGCTATTTATTAAGCCGCTCTTAAATTCTTGTCCGAAAAAACGAACTATTTTCGTACTCACTGGCGGACCCGAGAACTCTAAGCCCAGCAGTTGATGCGCGGATGTATACGCCGGCGGACCCTGTGCCTACGGCCAGTCGCAAAATAATGACTTTCGGGGTTAATTTAAACGCCTTCTAAAGTGGACAGTGATAATGGGAAAACCGCCGAATTAGGTTTTAGCGTTACATGTTTTCCTGATTTCTTATATTTTCCCGGTTTCATATATTTTTTGTTTACGCCGCAGAAAAAATATTAATTTGCCAATAGGTTAAATTACCTTTAAAATGTGCCTGCAGTGCAAAGAAAAATAAGAGAGTGAGGTTAGGCAGTGCCGCAATCTGTAAGCGCCGAGTGAAGCCAAGATTGGTAGTCGTATTTATTTTTGGTCGTTCCTGCTTACAACTAACGAGCGTAGATATTGTAAATATTATTTTTTTTTTGCTTTTTTTTTTTATTATTTTTTTGTTCTCTGTTTAAGATAAAATGAGTGTTTTAATGAGTGCATTTAAATAATGCAAGAAACCGAAGAAACGGAACAACAACAATTTTTTTTCAGCAAAGCCTGCCGAACACCGCCGAAAGATCTTTCGCCGTTGGATTCGGAGTCGAAACCGTAAGTGCGCTCTTCTTTTTATTATCTACTTGATTACCTTGTCCGCTCTTAAAGCGCTCATTTTCAGCGGACAGAAACCGCAATGTTTAATAGCTCTCTCTTGAAATTCTAATGCAAATTCGAAGCAATGCCGACATCGTAGTCAGCTGTGTGCTTTAAGTCGGTCATTGACCTTAGTGCATTAATACATTTTACTGCACAAAACATATGCAATTTTCGTTTGTGCATATTTTTTTTTTTTTTTTTTTTTTTTTTTTTTTCCCCCACCTTATTCTCCATATATATATATATTTTTTTTTTTGCTTCTTATTTTGCGGATTGTATATTCGAAATTGAAATCCATTTTTTTTTTTGGACAGCATAATTTAAATACAGGCCAATACCGAAATTCATTATTTTTTCTTTGCTATGCACATTTATACACTGTTCAAATTCTTTCGTGGAATTTGTATTTAATTATTGTATTTCCTGTTATCATTATTACTACTATTATTAATTATTATTGCTATTACTTTTATTATTGTGTTTCCCTTTTTTAATATGGATTATAGTGATTATCGATGAAGCGAGAAACTCCCTGAATTTTTTTTCTGTTTATTTACTTATTAGAACTAGTTGTTTTTTCTTGTTAATATGAATAAATTTATAATGAAATCGACGTAAGTGTCTAAATTCGGGAATCATGTGTGCCGTCCGTGAGCCAATTTAGGAATCCGCAGTGTGCTTAGGGATCGTCAATAATTGTAGATGCAGCATGACGATCATGGAAGGGTGGGGTTACTCGAGCCGCTCATTACCACCATTGCGAGCTCATTTCGCCACTATGGCTCCTAGCGTAGCAAGCTTCTTCTCTTAATACTTTCTGCCCCCCTTTTCCTTCTTTTCCTCCCTATAACTGATCGCTGATTGATAGAACTTTATTTCCCTCCTCCCATAAAACAGCACGCGAATTTTAAATAAATAAAGTAATACACCTTTGTGAGCACGCAGTGTTGCGGTACCCTCAACATAACCCACTCCCCCCCAGCCGACTAAACTGAGGCCGGTATGCTAGCGCGTGCTCCGTTCACACATCTGCCCTACCATCAGCTCACCCAAAAAGTGTACGTTGTATGCTACAGTATGCTAAACAGAACAATGATAATGTCGCATGGTAAATTGCATGCAATTATGTATTTTTGTTGTTGGCTTGCTTTTGTTTTCACCTCACTCGGCGGTGCTTCGAGCTTGGTCTTGCTTCGTACGCCAGCGAGCAACGCTCTTTGGCTTTCATTTTGTTGCAGCAACCAGCACTCGTTACCGCCGTCGTAGCCGTTGTTGTTGCTGTTGCCATTAACAAATACATTCAGCAGCTTGTATTCCAACAACAATCATTGCATTTTCTTTGTTTTCTCCACACTTTTCCACGCTACGTTTCGGTTATGCTCTTTAGTAATTATGACTTCAAATTGTTGAAAAGAGGAACGCATACGGTACAGCGCTAGAAAATGTAATTGTAATTGTGTGTGTCTGTTTGTATGTCACTGTGGCTACACGGACTAACAGCTATAATTAGCACACCCGTATGCACACATATACAAAAAACAGAAAACAAAAACAATTCCACTTACACAAATGCCAAGCTTCTGTCATTGTACGCCCTTCATTTCCAACACCAATTTTCCATGACATTTTGTTGTCTCGCTGTGCATTCTTATTATTTTGTTGGTTTTTGGTTTTCCTATTTTTATTCAAAGGGAGTATTTAATTAACATTTTGTCGCGGTTTTGTTTGTGCTCTTTGCCTCATTCCTTAGAAGCGGAGTATTGAATTTATTTATTCATAATTGGGACAGAGAAAAAATATTTCAAATACGATAACATACAGGAATTGTTAAAATACAATTTAATAAAATCATTCTGATCCGTCAAAATATCACATTTATGAAAGGGATGTGTTTTATTAAGACATAGCTGGAGCAAATAATATATTTGATGTATGAGAAAACTTTTCGAAATATAAAAAACAAAATAATTCACATTTTGTTACAACAATTTAAAAGCAATTCCGATCAGCCAGACAAGTTTCAGTTTCATTTGACACCGAAGCAATGTTTACTGAAGCAGGCAATTAAGGCACGGTTATCAAGACCTTCTTTAGCGAATATGAAGAGAAGATATGACAGTGAATACTACTATTTGTATACATGGTATGTGTGTTGGGTTATGTTATAAAAGTTCGTGTCCGCAAACAAGATAAATCGTATCTAAATGTGAACTTAATTTAAAATAATTTCAAGCAGAAAATAATGTATTATTACAACGCCTTATGTTTGATAAAATATTGAACCATTCTAATCCGATTTCCATGAGTTATCAATCCGTTCACACTTTTGAAACGGACACTTTCAATTAAATTTAAAAAGTACGACTATTAATAAATCTTGTTCATACTGTGTTAGTTCTGGATGATGGCACATGTTTTAAAATTGTTTGATAATATTTTTAATTCAAAATACCTTTTGTATGAGCGATAATAAATTGCATTCGTTTTTCATTCAACTTATTTTCCATTAATACAAGGGTACTTCCGAAGTAGAAATAATATAATAAAACATTGGCTTTATATTAATTTGCTATTCCTTTATTTTTTTACAATAATGCTACAAAGTTTATTGGTAACTAATGAGTAAGCGAGCTATAGTTATTGCTAGTTTTACAATTAATTATATATGAGTATGAGTGTTTAAGGCAATAGAGTGGAGCTAAAAAGTGATTTGAGCTTCCAAAAATAAATATAGAAATTAATAATAAATAACTCTGCCAATAAATCTGAAAATAGGGAAATATAAAAATAAAATATATGAAAATAAAATAAAACTAAAATAAGGTATAAGCTTAAAAACTGGTTTATTATTAAAATATAAAATAAAATTCGTTTTATGTTCAAAGGTGTATTCACATGTTGTGAAAAGAGTCCACTGTAACGCGATCATGTGGGTCTCTGTTCTAAGTTTTGATTTATTTCTCACCGTTGCGAACATTTAATTAACGTAATAAGGTACAAATAAATTTGTTTATGCTGGCATAAATCATTGCTAAAATAAGTTTCAAAAGAGGTTTTGGATGAAACATGTCACTAAAGCATAAAAACAATCCCCTACTAAGTAGTTAGTAATTGTGCGAGGCGCCTGAGTATAACAGTTTTCTGAGGACTTGTGGAAAATACTGGGAATTTATATTGCGCGCAAGGTGAAGGCACAGTTTTCGAACTTCACTGAAAAGCGAGAATCTGCTGCAAAATAAAGTGCGTAGCTTCTACAAAAAAATTGTTAATATAAATAAAATAAATAATAATAATCATAAATAACTAAATGAATGTATTTCGAATTAAATTTACATTCATTTTTTGAGAAATTATATTATATTGGGCAAATTATTTGTCTGGTGATACGAAATTCAAATGTTTTAGCGCCTTTTAGCAAGTTGTGCTCTCAGCGTGGAAAAGCGATTGCGCAGTAGCCGAAATCGATTGCGGACTCTGGCAATTGAAATGCCAAAAAGGACGAACAGCTACAGCAAAAATGAAACGAGCCACAACAGCCAGGACGATAGAGTAGATTGCGTTCTGAATGGCGCTCCGGGCACAACGACGACGATGCAAAGCGAGGCGAATAGGCACGAGACCAGCGAGACCACGAGAGATGGCGGAGGTACGAGTATGATGATGATGAAGATAATGACGGACTGTCTCGAAATGAGCGCAACAGAGAGCGGCACAGCACGCGATGGCACAAGTGAGAATGAGAGCGGACACTTCGTGAATATTTTATGAACGAGCGCGCACTTTCGATGCTGGCGAGGAAGCTTTTGTGCGAGCGAGCGAGTAAGTGAGTGAGCGGAGAGGAGCGTAGTGTGTCGCACGAGCCTCGAATAACGGTTAGATGGCGTCGGCGACGACGACATCGGAGCTATCGTTATGCCATCCTCGAAGAGAAATGTAGGGAAACGCATCCTGTAGTTATTGTCGTCGTCGTCGTCGTCGCCGACGCCGCCGACGTCGTCGTCGTCGTTCCAACTGCTTACGCGAATCGCTTGTTGGTGGCAGAAGCAGCAGCAGCAGCAGCCTTAGCTGTAGCAGCAGCACCAGCACCAACATTTGGCTGCCTGACTGGCTGCCTGGCTGCTTGGCGGCCGCCTGCCTGCTATACTGCTGCCTGTTATCCTGGCTTCGCTGGCCGCCGTCGTCGTCGCCGCAGCCGCCGTTGCAGCGCTGGCGCTTTGAATTTTGGCCAATGCGTGTGCCGTTTAGTAAGAAAAGCGTCGCCCAGCGGTCTAGTACGAAAACGTACCGTACGCTTTGCGTTCTTTCTGTTTTTTGGGGTCTCCTCCATATAGTGTGTGTGCGTTACGCTCGTCTTTTGTTTCGTGCGTTATCCAAAACGCGTTCAAAGCATTCGAAATCGACGGCCACGAGTAACAATTAAACATACATTATTCATTCAAACATTATGATAAGCCAATTTAGCAAATAAACTGATAAATATTTCAATCACTAGAGCACTTGGAAAATGACAAATTCATTTGTGTTTCTCAAATTTACAAATAATTTGCTTACAAAATTGTAAAAATGTATTATTTTACAATTATTCTATTTCAAGTTAATATGTTGAAATGGAATGATTTTTATATTATTGTTAATTTTAATTATAAATATTAATTTTAAATTATGAAAAATTGTATACACTTTTTATAGATAATAATAATGCCATTTAAAAATTGTCGTACCTTTTCAATATGTGGTCTTAAAACCAAGAAATACGATTAATTCTGAAAACTTTTGAGGATATTTATACATTAAGGCATTTCTAGAAAATCAAAATATTAGTTAACTTTGAGTTTAATGTTTTAACTTGGTCAATTTTTGAGGAGCTTACTTTTTTATATTTTACAAACATTTTAATTATAGTTCCCACGAAGATAGTTTTTGGAATTTCTGGGCCATTAATAGTTACCAAATTGTGGTATCAACACCCTCAATTGGATTCATTTGATTATCTGTCACATCGTATTGCCCTGGAAATTTGTTGTTGACTTTTTCTATGAATTCCATTAGCGTTAATTATGCGGCCTCACGAAATTACGACTTAATAGTTTAACATATTGTCTAGACTTTGCTTAAGCCATGGCGGTGTGGCAACTTAAAGCCAACCGCAAACTTTGGCGACACTCATTTAAGTTTGACAACATTGCTGCTGCCGTCGTTGTTGTTGTTGTTTTTATTATTTTTCCTCTGCTCTATGCGAGCGGCCTGGCAGTCAGTCAGTGACTTCAGAAGCAGCCGGCTGCTGCTGCAAATTATTTCCAAACTATTTTTTGTTGTTGCCTGCAACTTTAGCGACATCGAGCCATTTGCCGGCTCTCCACCGAGTCTCTCTACCACTTTTTATGCGCCAGCCCCTGACATTACACATACGTGCTGATACACTTTCCCGTCATGCCGTTTGGCCGTTGCTGTCTGGCGCGCATATGACAGCAATATTTATAATTTCCGTAGCTGCTACAGACACAGACACAGCTGCAGTAGCAGAAGTAGCAGCAGAAAAAACAGCAACAACTAAGAAAAATAATTTGTGATTACAATGTTTGTTTTGCTTACGACTTGTATTGTTGTTTTTGTAGCAGCAGTAAGATAGACAGGCATAGCACATGAAATGAATTCCATGGCCAAATCCAACGTATCGTGAAACACGAAAGACAAGACTACGATAAATATAATAGCGAGAAAAAAAAACACAAAAACAAAAGAGAAGTAAAAAAAGTATAACGCCAAGTGCGCTCGTGTTCGTGTATTTCCGGTTGAACAAACACATAAGCAAAAAGTAAAGAAAGAAAAGCCAGCAAAATTATAGAAAATAATAAAAAAGGACACATACGAGCAGCAGCAGCAGCAGCAGCAGCCAAACAACGAGTGCAAGTATATACTTAGAAGGTAGTATATAAGGAGCACAACCAACGAGCGATTGCGATTGTGACTGCGACTGGTACGGGTACTGGAGAGGCAAAAAGTGAAAATACACATAAAAGTTGCAAAAAAGCAGCACAATATTTTTCATAAGTTTACAACACACACTGACGCACACTGACACAATCACACTCACACACATAACCATTTTCTAATATATAGCCAGAAGGCAAGAAAGGGAACATAAAGGCTAGCAGTGAGCAGTGAGCAGCCAGAGCATATGTGAAAGAGCGATAAAGGCTAACGCACGACCTTTGGCACAGAGTTCAAAAGCAGCATCATTGCAAAGAGTTGGGAGCCAACAAATCAATAAGTGGTTGGAAAGAAAGCAATTTGCCAGCTGAGCAGCAGTCGAACTATCCACAAAGCCTTCAAAATTCACTCACAAATTATGCTGGCTATGTCGACACTGATGATGCCAGCGCCGACTATAGCCATGGGGGCCCCGCAGATAACGATGGGCCCCCATAAGCCTCCGGAAACCAAATTACTTGCCATACATCCCGCGGCAGCCGCGGCCGCTGCTGCTCAACAGCAACAGCAGCAGCAGCAACACCAACAACAACAACAATCGGCCCACTTGCAACACAACGGCCAACAGCATCCGCAGGCACAACAGCAGCAGCAGCAGCAACAACAACTGGCACCGAACTCGCAACAGCAGCAACAATCGGTGGCTCAACAGCAGCAACAACAACAACAGCAGCACCAGTTGGCTGGCAGCAACTCCAAACCAGGTGAGTGAGTGTTCAGGTAGCCTGTGATGTACTCGTACTCGTAATTCTGGGTGAATGTCCTCTACCCGTTTGGCATATTTATTGCACATCTGTGCCGCTCTCCTTGTTGCTCTGTTTGGTGTCGCGTTATCCAGAAGGACTGTGCAATTTCATGTGGCATTAGTCTCCGTTTCCAGCGCAGCCAACGCCTGAGGTGTTGCATAAATTTTCAAATATCGTTGGCGTTTTATTTCTGCGACGTGTTTCGACTGCTTCATCGATTTTCTTGTTTTCCGGCCTATTCGAATGATGCGGTTGAATGTGACTGATTATATTGAACGTGCCTAGAAGTGGGGACGACTATGAATGGCCTCTGATGGCGTTTGATTTAAAATTAAGAATATTTAAAGGTGGATCTTAGGATGCAGGATGTATTATACAAATCGGAAAATTTGGCCAATTCGTCATATTAGTCTTAGTACATTATTAATAGTAGTAAATAGTAATTATATTTATTGCAATAGCTGTATCAAATTGCCAAGCAGATCGCGCTTGTTGTCAGTTCCATTGAATATTTCTATAAATATCTTAATTTTAATATAAAATATAATAATTACTTTGAAATTTTTTGGGGGGAAATGATAATATTTTATTATAATATAATAAGCGCAATGTCAAACTTCAAGTTTTAGTTAGAAAGTCAATGATAATTAATAAATTAGGTTTTTTTTATGCTGAGTCTATGTTCAGTTAAGTACTCTTAATAACAACATACTCTAATTTTATACCTGAAACTGATTTATATTTAATTTTTAATATTATTTTAATAATATTGAAAAAAAAAAACAACCTTTTATAAAATCATATGAATTTGAAAAAGTTAGGGGTAGTCTGACAATTGTTCTATTTACATCCATTTATTTATTTAAATTTAAGTTTTAAATTTTTTTAGCTCGCTAAGCTATGCCAGGACCCACGTTTATTTATGAAAACAAATAGCAAATCAGATGAAATTAGTTAAAATTTCAAAAATGTAGAATTTAACTATTACATGTTGTGCAACACAAATACTAAGTGCGGTCTTAAATTGAACATGTTAATTTAATTTAATTTAACTCAGTCTTATAAGAGACATTGCACAAAGCTAATAAGCATTACAAATTTATTCTGATTATTCTGATTATAATAGGAGAGATCAAAGAGAATATTTAAGAGATACAAAGTTTACATGCTCGAATTAGTTAACTAAATGATACATTTGTTTAGTTAATTGACACAAAAAATAACTTGGTAAGCATTTGCCATACTTCAAGGAAAACAGCAATCTCGAAATAAGAATCATATTCACAGTTTTCATTCAGAAAACTCGAAGTTTATTTTAGTTTTAGCATGGTGTAAATTCCTTAAACCCAAAAATCTGAGCTGCACATATTTAGCTGAGTACTATGTACAGTTATTTACTAGTATTTAGGTGTGATGGTATGCTCAATAGAACAATTTTCAAATTAAAATACTCGAAGACCCGTATATTGCATCGCATAACCTGAATTTATTTCAAAACTATGCAACCTGGTAGGTAATCAGTTTTAATACCGATAACAAATGCCAAGAAATTACTGGCCATTAAAATTGTGCTCAACGAAATGTGTTGATGTTGCTTTTGCATATCAAGTGTGGTTTAAGTGCCCGCAAAAGTATGCAGCAATTTATTGGAATTCGTATTCAGCCAGCCCAGTAACACATTTAATCACAATTTTACAAGCACACACACACACACACATGTATATATATTTATGCATATATATAGAAATAAATGTACGCAAAATTCCAGCAAGTCATAATTTGAACACACATATCAGTTACATTCGTTTATGTATACAATGCCTGAGAAGCGTACTTTCTAAGGACAAACCAAAGAAATCTGCCACTTGAAATGCAACTGAAATGAAAATACGCACGTAATCTGAAAATAACAAAACTCGCACATGAATTTTCAAAATAAATTATTGTGGACGTACTACGTATAGCCACAGCCAACAAGAGGGGGACGTAGACAGCCACAAATTTGAAAGCATAGGCAAGCATATCAGTTACAATTTCATATTTTTGTCCATAACCATTTTTAGAAACAATCGGGGAAATTTTCTTATGAATATGAATTCGCATAGAGGCTTGGCAAATAAAATTGCACAGAGAGACGTCGTCGTTTTCGAACGTAGAGATTTACAACTTAAAAACAACTTAAGCCGAAACTTAAAAACAAAAAGCAAGGCGTGTCGAGTAGAGTATAGTCGAGCTGGCAGGCTGTCCTCGCCTTGTGCGCCTAGCCTTGTCTACGGTTGCTAATGGCACAAACTACATACATATATACATATAAATAGGCAGGAAAGCTGGCTGAAGAGCGGGCGGACAAGACCGGAAGCAACAGCACAGGAAGCTGCATGAAATGAAACGTTGGCAACCAAGGCAGCCAAGTGTGTGCGGCGGGTGTAGAAGCAGAGGGCCTGGCAATGCCTGCAGCCTACAGCGCACGGCTCTAATGAAAAATGGAAATAGTGAAATATATCTAAATACGTATATATGTATATATAGGTATATATGTGTGTGTGTGTGTTTTTGCGTCACTGTCTATCTCGCTCGGCGGAGGGAGCGACTTGAAAATGAATTTAATTATGGCAAAAAAGTGAAAATTTCCACACTTGAGTCTGAGAAGTTTGCCAAGGAAGTGAAAAGCGAAGCATAACGAACGCTGCCAAGTGGGCGGAGATGGGCAGCATGTTGATGAGTGTGTGAAGTGTGGGTAAATTACTAGACAACAGAACATAAATAAGAAAACCGACAGCAAAAACAACCACAGCAACAACAACAACAATGAAAAGTACCGAAGTGAAGTGTTTGGCTGTATTGTGTTAGTTAGCTTAATGCAAGAAAAGCGGCAAGTTGGCAAAAGACAGAAAAAAATGAAACAAAACTGGGCGGGCTGAGGATGAATAGCGATGATTTTGAAGAAAATAAGTTAATTTAGCTCTGAAACTTCTCTGGCTTTAACCTGACGCATAAGGAGGCATTTCAGAAATTCATATTAAAGGTATTAAATTCCTATTATTTGTGTTAAGAATAATTTTAAATATAACTACTTTATGTTAATTTAACTTTGAATCAGAAAGCGTAGAATAATCTCAATAAATTAATATAAATGTAAAAGTCAACCCATTCTTAAAAATAGAAATTGATTAATTAAATGAAGCCGCCAAAGTACTATTCCACTATCAATCAAAAAGTAATGAGGTAGTCTGATTTGTTATAAACAGGTATACAGGTATATCTAGTTGTATTTTATCATTACTCAAAATTATACAAGAAAAGTCTTAATTAAATTAACCGCTACATAAGTAGTTTTAAGTTTTAATTGGACTGACTATTAATAAAGTATTATTATTATTATTAAGGGGATCACCCAAAGACGAATTTAAAGGCAGCTTTTCGGGATATCGACTAATGATGAAGATAAGGAGCCCCAAAAGTGTAGGGAGCTGTTCTCCAAACTTCAATAGAATTTGAAAATATTTCGAATCTTTTTCTTTTAGCTTTCGCCACAAAGTTGTAACTAGTAGAATCCTAAATTGTTGCCACGGTCAGCAGCGCCGTCTGCATCTGGCGACAATTGACTTTGCAATGAGCCACACTTAACTGCTAATTAGCACACCAATCGAATTCATTAGCGCGCAAGGCATGAAGTGAAAATTACGACACGGAGAGGACGAGAGACGGAGAAAAAATTGTTGCTGCTGCAGCACAAACATTTGATTAGTGTGGCAAAAAAGGACGAGGAATAAAATGATTGCAAATTGAAAATTAAGTAGTGTGTGCATGCATAGAAATTTCCAATTCAAATGCAACGATGTGTATACTGGTATGTGTGTGTTTTTGTGGAGCAGGAACCGGGTAAAAGTTGCAGCAGCTCGGCAAAATGGAAAGTGGGGGGAAGGGGGCACCTAAGCTGTGTGAAAGTGTTGCATCTTGCGCTTTATGGACATGCAAACAGGCACATGCATATAAATTTATATAGCAGCACACGTATATGCTCATAAGTAGAAATATACATATCCGGATATATACAACTACATATGTATATGTGGCGGAGAAAGAAGCGCACAGTGCATGAACTTTCAAGCAGCACTTACACAGTTACACCCACATATAGTATATGTATGTGCCTATGTGTGTGTGTGTGTGTGTGTGTTTGTGTGGGTGTTTACCAGAGCAAAAACAAACTGCAAGTTTTGAAGTGCGACAGCAGCCGAGCCAACAAGTGCCACAGTAGCCGCGCCGAAGTAACAGCAACAGCAGCAACAACAACTACTAACTATTTTGCGCCACTGCCGTCGTCTGCACTTGCCTGTTTTTCTTTAATGCCAAACCGGCAACAACAGCAACAACTGCTACTGCCAGGGCGTCTGTAACTGCAACTGGCTGGCAAGTAGTGGCAGAAGAAACGCGAGCCTGAGCTCCAGCTTCAGCTACAGCTACAGCTTCAGCTTCACTTTACTTCACTTCAGTGCAGTTCACTTTCGCCGCCTGCTGCAACGAAGACAGCAAAACTTTTAAATTGGTTGGCAACACTTGCCACAAACACACACACACACACATACATAGATATCTTCACATGTATGCATACAAAGGGAAAACTACACTCACAGCTGGCAGCCACGTCTTGGCTTTCGTCTGCTCATGTAAAATGTTTGTTTTGGAAATGAATTTGGCAATTTTTCCCGCGCAGCAAAGAAAATTAAACAATACGCCAGGCAGACAGCGGCACCTCAAAGTAATTTGCTAGCAAATAATTTGAAGAATTTTACCAAAAGTAGACTGCATGATGCGGTAGCTGTAACTGAGAAATACCGAGTGTTATCAATTCACATACACCTTATATAATACAACATATATGTATTCTTATAGGTGTGTGAGTATGTGTGTGTGTGTGTGTGTTTGTGTGGGCGTAAAAACCACTAACGTGAAAT